GCGTTATTCAAATAATTATGACTACAACAAAACTAAAAACGGTTGTGAAAAAAAATTAATACCAGTAAAAGTATACTTACCTCATACCAAGTTGAGGTATTATGAAGAAGTCACAATTTTTAAAAAGGCTTGAATAACTTACTATATGGTCAAAGAACGTATTTGTTTCGGACGGTCGAATTATTTTCGTTTTAGTTCTCTGAATACTTATTTGCACGCAAAAATATTTCCGTAAGAGTCATTAAAGAAATTAAAGATTTTTATATATAGTTTGATAAATCATACTTATTTGTTGCATTGAATGAATAGTTTATTCGTAGACGTTGTAAAATTACTCAATTAAAGTATAATACTGCCTTATGATTATTTGAAAACTACTTGATGATTGTTGTATTTATATTTATATACGTGTGTATGTACATCGAAACATTGGTAATATACGTTTTAATAAACTTGTATCTATTTCTCATCTAACAATAAGTAACAGTTGTGTTTTATAAACTTATAGTACGTAATGGATTTGTTAAGTAAACACTAAATATAGAAAATTTAAAAAATCCTGTACAAGGAAAAATAATTTTACAATAATAAAAATTGATACATTTTATATAAGAACAAATTTCTCTACGTACAATGTTTTTTTGCATGGCAATAATTTAAAATTTACCTTGTCTACCACAGACCTGGGACTGTAGCTATCAAAGTCAACTTCTTGTTGTCCAGTCCCATGATAATTGATAAACAAGATTGGCGTATCTTGTACCTTTGAGATTTTTTACTATCTTGTAAGAATCAGATCGTGAGAGCAGTAGTTTTTAGATTTAGATTTTGAAAGCACGACATAAAAAAGGATATAAACGGTGTGTTGTCACTGCAGGTAACCCATTAGACGGACCCGTTCGTCCTGGCAGATCGACCAGCTACGAAAATGCCAGGTACGTACGGATCACTCTATGAAAACTGGCATATTTTAAGGGTTGGAAGAGACAAATATTTAAAATGGGTTTCTAATTGTTGTAACTTTTTTTTTTTTTCTATTGCCAATGACGAAATTTACTTACAATTACTTGGGCCTTGCTGTATTTGTTCAAAAAAGTTTTTACGACTTTCTTACTTTAATTTTCAAAAATAGTAACGTTACAAGCTATATAAAATTCAACAACTGACATAAAGAACTCTACTAAAATTCGAATTTATCATTACATTTATATTGTGACTATACAACTCGATAATCCAATTTGAAACAAAGATATTATTTGTTTTGTATCGTTACGTAATACCGTTACGGGCTCTTATAAGTGCGTTGAAAATCGACATTGCGGTGCACTAAATAAAAATTCGACTTTTACATTGCACTTATATCATAAGTCACAACTGTTTGTTAATCCATCACGTTTTGCCAAGATATACTAGATTCTTTAGCTTTACGGGTTTTTAGTAAAGGAGTATTACGGGGTTAAGGTACCACAATTAAATACATTAAAAAGAAGCTAAAAGAAAAACAGACAAATATATCATTTAAATATAACACATTGTAAAAACTGCACTTAATTCGAACGAGTAATTTCAATCCATACCATGCTTTTGATACAGCTATTCACACAGATAAAAAAGTGTCGTTCAAACGAATCAAGTGTCAGAATAAATGTGCATCTAAGTTTTCTTGTCAAAGTTAACAAAAAATTATAGTACAAAATTACACTCAAATCTGTCATGCAATTTAAGAGTAAAAGTTGGCATCAAGAAGAGTTTTTTAGAATAACTGCAAGTTCTTGAGCTCATGAGATAAAAACATGGCACGCTAAAATATAATTCAAACGAAGAACTGTAATACTCTCTCTTTTTCTCCTTCGCCCCCTCTATCTCTCTCTCATGAAAGACCTCACTGTTGTCATTTTACCTTCTAAATCTTTCTCTCTTCTATCTTTACACATACAATTAGCCCAACGATTGCTTATAACAGCTCTATAGAATGATAAAATCCGGATGTAAAAATTGCAACATCCGATTTTTAATGTTTTTTTGTTGATGGTGATAAAACAAGTGACTTTTTGGTGGCTCACGGAATAATTGAACAATTAACAGAAAAAGTGTTGCATGGTTAATGATGCACAATAAAGAAAAAACTAATGAGATACGTTTTGTTCAGCTCGAATCGGTCCTGTAATTTTTACATAAATTGAAATAAACTGCATATTTTGATTATTTTTTATTTTTTTAATCTATGTCTTGCAACTCATCAAATGTTAAGAGATCGTTCATAGTAGAGCAACGGAGATACTGTTCTACGTTTTTAGACGAAGGTGGTTACATCAAGCAGCAGAAGTTTCAGCTTCAAATGTCTTGCTGTACTAATGTATAACTCATGTACATATCTAGCCTGTGCACATTCTGTAGATGAGATACTGCTAGCTACAGCAAGACACTTCGAGTTGCATTTTCTACCGCTGGATGTAGCTACGTCTAACAACGTCTTGCAATATCTTTATTTTTCTACTGCGAACGATCCTTAAGACTTAAAATTTTAATATAATTTAATAAATTTTGTGTAGAATTGATCTTTTTGCCTGAATCTTAAGAAATTAGCATTATTTTGACCTGTTATATCAGTTAAAGTTGTAGATAAAGATGTAAAAAATTCATATAACTGAATTTCATAAAAATGTTTCCAATAATAGTAATGCTAGAAGCAGTTGTGACTAATGCGTATAAGCAAATGCTATCGTATAAACTTCTTCTTTACTAACCTATAATTTCTACTTATACTTTTAGTCAAAATCGTGCTTTGATTTTAATATTCTAGAAAGCTTATTTTCACTCGATTATTTAAGTACTACTTTCCTGGACACGTTGCACAAGAAACTAAATGAACGATTTCAAAATTTTCTCTCTTAAAAAATATGCAACTGAAGTGAAGTTTTACTTGTACTTCTAACTCCCCCACCACGAAAAAAATAGCACTAAAAATCTTTTTAGTTATTAATTTAATTTTCACTCCTTAAATTCAATTTAAAAAAAAAAAATTTTTAATCATTTACGTTGTGGTAAGTAACTTATTATTTATTTAGGTCCAACATTTATTCAGAGTTTCTAACTTAAAATGCTCCTAAGTATTAAATTTAATATACATTTATGAATTATTTGTTTAGTAACAAAATTATTCACAAAACTTTTCAACGATATTTTTTAGTACATTCATAAATTTTTTAATTTTAATTTATTTGTTAATTACAAAATCAATGAATAACTGTTTATTTACTGTTATCATTTTTTTATTTTTTAATATTTCCCAACTGAGTTTTAAATTACTTTCATTTTTTTTCATGATTGGTTTATTTGTATAAGATTCTATGAATAAATTTTTTGATTTTCTTTGCGTCATACCCTTTTAAAATTGTTCACTCGCTAATAAAGTGATTTCTTGACTTAAGCTACATTCACCGGCATTTTGAAATACGATCCCATTTATGACAAAGCAGTTCGTTTTTTCTGAGCTTTCTTTTACATATATATATATATATTATGGTTGTTAGAAACACAACTAAGAATAAATATATGCGAGCGTATGTGACAGAAATGAGCGCGACGTTAGAGGTTTTATTAGCGTAGAAAGGTGAAATAATCGGAAGATTCGATAAAAGCGAGCAGTGTCGTACTGATGACCAGCCTGACAGTATGTCATGCTATGGCTATACTCTGTACTTTTCTTACACGCATAATAAATTATTTTAATTGTTTATTTATCATATATTGAAGTATTTATTGAAACTAAACCTAACTACCAAACACCCTAATTTTAAGGATAACTGCACCACATTAGATACATTGTAGTAGGTTTAGCAGTTAAGGTTATTTAAAATATTGTTTAATAACAGGAATATCTAAAATCGAACATTGTCTGTTACAAAAGTATAACTTCATACTTGGGTACCTCAGTATTTATTGAAACTACACTTAACTACCGAACACCCTAATTTTACAGATAACTGTACCACGTTAGATACATCGTAGTAGGTTTAGCAGTTAAGGTTATTTAAAATGTTGTTTCATAAAAGGAATATTTAGAATCGAACATTGTCTGTTACAGAATTATAACTTCATACTTGGGTACCTAAGCACCAACTGTTTTTATACTTTCATTAGGTCACGATATACATGGTATGTTAGGATTATGTAGAGCAACGCCTGATAAACAAAAGCGATTTAATATTTAATAAAACTTAAGTTACAGATTTGAAAAAATTGTCAAAAAAGCAATTTTTGTTTATTATTCAAGAACTACTGACTTAATTAGAGCTCAACAAAACCAATTCGATTTGTCTTTTTACAGCGCGTTTTTAGTTTATAAAACTTTTTGTCAAATGCTTCCTTTTTCCGTTAACTGCAATAAATCACTTATCAAATTTTTGTTTTTTTTTACAATTTCTATTTTACCATCGTGCAGGATTTCAATCTGCGTTCAAGCTTAGAATGTTATTGGTATTGTTATTATCTACCAAGAAAAGAAAAATGAAAACCGTTCGAAATTTTCATACCCAGATTTTCTAACTGCATGAAGTTATTAGTTGACTTTTGATAAGCGTAAAAAGCACGTAAGCACGCCTTGTTTAACTTGCACCCTGGTATAGTACCCACTGGAACCATCTTAATTACATAAACAAGAATCTTTTAAAGTTTCTTACTATACTCTAAAGGTTCGACCAATATTAACTAACTTTTTTCCATAATAATATCTGTAAGGGTAAAAAATCTTAATTAAAATCGTGATTGAAAGTACGACATAAATATAAACCTATGTTTAGTAGGCCTACAAAAAGCTTAAAATAAATGCTGTTTATGAGTACGTATATATTTAATTAAAAAAAATTATATCTAGAACTAATGTGAAGAACTTTATATTATTATCATTGAATAACTTCAAAATGTGGTCAAACAAATATAGTAAAATCATGATTAGCTTTAATTGTCAGAAGAAACTTTATTAAATTTTTTTGTCATACCTGAACAAACACTTTTTGTAACAATATCCTTGTTTCTTTTGGAGTAAATTCGCTGGTTACGCCAGTAACATCAGCTTCTTTAGTACTCATTTCTGGCAAGTCAAAAAATAAATAAAGACACTTTACCAAGGTTGACGGTATTGAAGCTGTCGTCATTTCCTAAAAAAAAATATTCTTATGATACTTTTTTTATTCTCGAAACTTCAAGACAGCTTTGTCGTTTTGAAACTAATCATCAGCACAGTATTTATACACATATTTTTAATCTACTGTTTTGGATTTAATTACATACAATTCATAGGATACATGTCTAATTTTTCTTAAAAATTGTTCACATAAATTTTAATTTAACATGTTCTTTATGAAACTTGGAATAAAAGTGATTTGCAATAAAAAGAATACCCAAATTTTGTAGATTTTATACGAACTTACAGGTAGTTTCTGCTTTTACTGTAGAGATTTCTTTAATCTCTTTAGATTACTATACTCCATGATGTAGTCCTAGCTCTTTAGGGCTGCTCCCGACAGCAAAAAAAATTGACCTAACAAACTATCATGTATTTTTTCCTTCTAAATACAAATATGTTGTTTATAAATCACAAGTGGTAAGATTTATTTAAAACTGATTATTTTAATAAATCGAGATATTATGCAATTTCGATTAGAAAATTTTTTTGTGTGTAATTGATTCGGAATAAAAAAAAACTTACATATGTCATGTAAAAAAACCAACCCACTAAAAGTTATTAGTCGTTTGAAGACAAGAAAATTACTTACTGGACCTCTTTGTAGCATTAATACTATAATAAGTAATGAGCATTGATGGATTTATCAAGACAATATTAATAATTTCTCTGAACTATAAACTGTGAGATAATATTATTATAAAGTTAACTAAATAGGTTAACATAATCTTGTACACCAGTAAAAAAAATGTGTTTTCGACTATTTATCTGCTTTTGCATTGGTACCAGTTGGGGCCCTTAATCGATTGATATTTGAAAGAACCATGCAAAACCTTTGCAGTTCAATGGAATATAGTAAATAAAAACAATTGTTTTAGAAATTTTTTTCTTGCAATGTGGCTTAAGAAAAAAAATTATGTAAGTTATGTACTCAATGTCGAATCATTAAAAGTTATCAATTACTTAAAATTGTTAAGTCACGCAGTTTAGAGTGATAGAATTAGCAAAAAGTTTTGAAAATTTTTGCACAATTCTAGGTTCTGTGAAAAAATTTTCTGAAGTAGATAGTTATAATACAAAATTAAAAAACTAGAATCTAACACTTTTTAGTTGCAGAAAGTGGTTTTTAAAAAATAGTGAACATGACCATAACCAGTTTTTCGTGCTCGGCATCGTTAAATTGAATGAAAGTAAAAGGTTTTATTTAAATTACGTGCCATAAAAAGGCAATAAAGATCAGCTGCAGACGAACACAACTAGTGTAGCAGTGGCTTGCAAATTGCACAAAATCATCGATTATTTGCTAAGTTTAAAATATCCATAACTTTGATTCTTTTAAATATTAAAATCTAAGATTTATTTATATCTGATTGAAGAACTTTTTTTTGTTAAACTCAATTCAACGATGTCCAACAGAAGAGCTAATTTTAATAGTATTCAACAGTTTTTGGATCATTTTCTGCAACCAAAAAGTGTTTAATTCTAATTTTTTTTAATAAGTACAATTATGATCTACTTCCGGCCAATTTTTGTCTCAGACTTAAGAAGCGTCCAAAAAAGTGTGCAAATTATAAAATTGGTTTGACTTTTTGTACATAATGTACATAAGCTGCTTTTTTCGATGAAGCGTTCGAACAGGCATATATGTCTCGCTAGCATATCACATACTTTACCCTCACATCTGATTACGCTAGCATTTTGTAGCTTAATTGTAGTACATTTGTAGTGAAGCAATTTATCTCGAGATAATCGATAGATTGGGCGACTGGAGTGTCAGCGATTACTCAAAACTTTATTATCTGCCAACTTGGGACCTACTACTATATAATACATCAACCATCCAATACGTAAGTGAGTTTAAAAATGAAAATCTGTTTTATAGGACCTACCAATCTTGTGACCATCAGGTCTGGTAGTGTATCGGCACCACGCAGCAGATTACATGCACATTTACGTTGATCACGGGCTTGAAAGAAATTTTGTTCGCAGTATCTTTTTATCTAAATTGTAGTAAATAAGAAGTAAAAAAGGTCATTTTATAGAACATATCAATTTTGAGATAGCCGATGAATCGGTCAATCTGAGTGATAGCGATTACTGAAAACTTTATTCCCTGCCAATTTGAGACTTAGAATTTTACAATATATTGTCCATCTGATATAAAAGTAAGTTTAAGAACAATAATCCATTTTGTAGTAATATTATATTATAGTGGGGTTTCGCCTCCTGCGCGCTCTGCGCAAACCCCTATTTCTAGTTTAAAATTTGTTAGTAAAATAAAAAAGTTCTTCTTTTTTTTTTTTACAATCTTTTAACGAAAAGTAACTTCATCGGAATGATTAACGCGTTAAATTTGAAGATAAAATATTGAAACATGATGATTTTTATAATTTTAGCAATACTTTTCACAAATTAATTATTTATTGTATGCTGATCTATGCTCGCTCTAAACACCATTACCATCAACAAAGAATTGTATAAAGTAAATTAAAAATGTGATATACTTATAACATAGAAAAAAATTTATTATATTGTAAAAAAATGTTGTTAAAAATTATTTTGTAAAATATTTAGAAACATACTTATTATAAAATTATTAACATTTGCCATTTGTTTCGAACAAAAGAATAACTTATACAGGCATTCACTGTGGAAAATCTAAAAAAAAAATAAATTGACAAATATAAATAGTAGACATACTTGCCAAGATAAGGATATTTTATAAAAACATTTAAACGTAATGTTATTCAATATACGATTAAAACTATTCATTTCATGAACAACCTTGGTTGGAAAAGTTCTTATTAATGATAAAATTTATTGTTTTTTAAGATAAAAACGGATGAAACAGAAGAAACACAATTTGAAGTTATCAAACAGTAAAGGTAAGGTGTTAACAACTATTAGCATAGCAGGTATCTAAGAAACATTTTAATTTTTTGATAAATGGGGTGAAGGAGTTAACCCTTTTTATCCCTATCATAAAGTAATCTCACAAAAATTTTTTAATTAATTTAGTGGGTTTGGAGGGGCTGTTGGGATAAGGAATCTATATTGACCCTGCGACAAAATGTCTTTGCAATAAATTTTTTTTTTAATTACAGCGCTATACGTCTGGCTTTTCTCAAGGACATTAATTGTGGGCACTGTGTGGGCCTTTCTCAAGGAGCATTGCGTGGTAAAAAAAAATGTATGAAAATTCACAGAGATACTTGCTCGAAAAAGTCGCACTGGCTGGAAATCGGACCATAGTCTCTTGCATGCTCACCCACGACCTAGCTGACTGGGCCACCACGCGCTCACTTACAATACATTCTAAAATTTCTTGTGGGAAGATGTGAGGGCAGGCTGTGAGGTGAAAAAAATACCCCATATGGTCTCTTTTACTAAGCATATTTTTGATAAAACAGAATAACTATAATAAATAATTATAATGTTTTATGAAAATACTCTCAGTTTCCATGGGGGGATGTAGGGGGCCACTAATTTTGCGAGGGGACTGTGGAGGGATAATGGAGGGTCTTACACATTTTTGTAGGGTTAAATTCGTAGAGAATATAGACAATTTACCCTTGTTTTGTGGGGAAGACTGTGGGGTGGCTGTGGGAGGACCATAGGGGGATATGTAGACAGACCTTTTAAAATAACTATATAATATAGGAAGAAATATAGTAGACTTTTTTGTCCTCCAAGTTGGAGAGATTGGTATCTTTTTATTTCCCTTATTATTAGGGGCAAGGGTTAAATAGAAAAACACACTTGCTATATTGGAACAGGTAAGTTAATCTCTTTAAGCTTATGGAAAAAATAAGTCACCAATCCACTTAAATACATGTTGACTAAAGGCAACTTACATAAAGAACATTGGGGAAAAAAAATTTTAAAGGGCTATTATGAAGATGAAATCGTACTTATGCGGGTAGTCTGCTTTACTTCCTAATATTATTACTATACATGTTCTAAAAGTATGCAAAGTTGGCATACGTCACCTGTAATACTTAAATGTGTGTGTGTATGTGCGTGCGTATGTGTGTGTGTTTGTGAATACCCACATAAAAACCCTTAAAAAATTGTAACATAAAACTTGTGAAAAGCAAAGCCTTCAATAATATTTTTAGCTCGCGTATGGCAATTTTGATTTCCTTTTCCAATTATACAGAAAACAATGTTTCTTCAATTTAAAAATTCATAACTCCTGAACGACTCACGGAACTGCTATGACCAAATCGATTTTTTTATTCCACTAATTTTTTTTTCAAGCCATTATCACGTAAAAAAATGTAGAAAGTGTTGAAGTCATCGTATACCACTTAAGGTTTAAATTTTTTTCGCTGACACTCGGATCGGCCGATCCATTGATTATCTCAAGACTGGTATGTTCTACAAAATTATCTATTTTAAAACTTTTTCACTAAAAGTTAGCTACAAAGTATACAACCAATTAAAATTTTTCTGAGCCTACGATTAACGGAAACGTGCATAATATCTACAGGGCGTAATATCACATGAGCAGATCACCTGTTTTCTCGAGATCAGTAGGTTCTACAAAAATAATATTTTACTACAAATTTACTACAATTAAGATACAAAATACTATCTTAAATAGATTTTGGAGGTAAGTGTGTGATCCAATAGCGTAAGAAAGGTACGTTACATCTAACTGGCACCAATACAAAGGTAGAAAAACAGTTAAAAACGCAATTCGTTTATAGGCACAGTAAGTATCTTTGGCACATGATACTCGCACCATCATCTGAAATTTTGTTCAAATAGTTAAGTAGTTGAAAGGAATGATACAGTGTTACAACATTCAAAAACTATAATTTTTAAAACTGTATCACAAACTATTATTCATTTCTTTAGAAATTGCATGTGTGCTCATTATAATTATGAGTAGCTTCGAAGATATAGCAATAACAACTTTTAGAAAAAAAATCTGTTATATAAGAGGAGCTGTTAAAGAACTACAAAAAG